ATTTATCAAGTATAAAGAACAATGGATGAAACTGACCTGCCCAAAAATGGGACAGAGGAGAAAAACCAGAGCCAAACAGAACAAAGTCACCTAAAAGATTCATAAAACAGAACAAGGTTTTTAAAATAATTTTTAAATTATCATAGTCCAAAATTGATTATATTTTCATTCACAGTGTAATTCTATTAATCTTATCTCATGGATAACCTCCCCAACATGTCTAACCTCCCCTGTAAGATACACTAAAGTTCCATCAGTCCAAAAAGCTTCCTGGTGCTACTTATTTCCACACAAGCTCTCACCTTGTACATAACCCCTGACAACTACTGAAAATGTTTTCCATCATATTTTCATTTTTTGAATAATTTTAAATAAAAGGAATCATATGGTACACAGCCTTCAGACACTGGCTCATTTCACTTAGTAGAATCTGAGTTTTACTCAAGTTGCCATATGCACCTTTTCTTTTTACTACTGGGTACTATTCCACTGAACGACAGTACCCTAGTTAATCAATTCATCCTTTAAGAGACATTTGAGTTGTTTCTAGGTTTGCACTATCACAAATAAAACTGGTATGAATATTCAGGCACAGATTTTTGAGTAAACCCAAATTTTTACTTTGTTAAGGTGGGCATTTAGAATTGGGTGTGGCATATATAACTTCACAGGAAACTCCTGAATGATTTTCCAGGGGGAAGGTACCATTTTGCATTCCCACCACCAACATATGGAAGTTCCAGTTGCCAGCACTTAGTGGTGCCACTACTTTTTGTTTCAGCAATTCTAATACCTATGTAGTAGTATGGAATCATAGTTTAAATTTGCATTTCCCTAGTGGCTAATATGGTAAATATATTCTCATATGTTTATCTATCATTCTTATATCTTCCTTGGTGAAGTGTCTGTTCAAGTCCTTTGGCCATTTTTAAATTCAGATGTTTTATTTTTGAGAGTGCATTATATAATCAGAATACAAGGGTATTTTTTGTTGTTCAAGATGTGATTTGTAAATATTTTCTACCAGTCTGCAGCTTGTCTCTTAATTCTTTTGACAGTGTCTTTGACATAGCGAAAATTCTAATTTTTTATTAAATTTAATTTATTGAGGTTTCTTTCTTGCAGATTATGTTTTTAGTGTCATTTTAACCTCAGGTCATAAAGAATTTTTTGCTCGGTTTTCTTCTAGTTTATAGCTTTATGTTTTAACACGTATGTCTATGATCCATTTTAAGCTATTCTTTGTATAATATGGTATAAGGTTTAGACAACAGTTTTTAAAAACATACTGGTGACCAAGCACTACAAAATGTTGCTGAAAGACAATATTCAATGTTCAGTTGATTTTGGATCTTCATCAGAGATCAAACAGCAGTATTCATGTGGCATATTTCAGGATTATATTCTGTTTCATTGATCTGGACACCAATCCTTCTACCATGCTGTCTTGATTATTGAAGCTTGACAGTGTTTTCTCCAATTTTGTTCTTCCTTTTCAAATTTGTTTTAATGATTTAAGTTCCTTGGCCCTTACATATAAATTTTTGGATCAGCTTGTTTATATTCATAAAAAAATTCTGCTGGGACCTTCACTGGTATTATAATGAATCAAAATATCACTTGCAAAGAAAGTAGTTGAATTTCAACTTGTTGAATTTCCATATCCACGAAGAACATCTCAAACACACACACACACAGAACATCTCTACATTTATTCAAGTCTTCTTAAATTTCAGTCAACATTTTACAATTTTTAGCAAACAAATTCTGTATGTGTTTTGATAGATTTTTACTGAAGTATTTATATACGGGAGGAAGCAAGCTATTGAGAAATTGTACTTCAAAAAAATTTCTATTACCAACAGTTCATGGCTTGTATACAGGAATATAACTGCCTTTTGTGTGTTGATCTTATATTCCTTATATTATATACCTTATATTATATAAGGTGTGTGACCTTAATAAATTCAACTATTTTTAAAAAACAATCCAACTTGCAATAATGTCACAAAAATTTGGAAATAAATTTGATAAAAGATATGTAAGGCTTATTTACTTAAAATAAATAACTCCTCAGAGAAATTGTAGAAGACCTAAAGAGTTGTAAAGATTACAGTGCTTTTAAGTTAATAAATTCAGCATTATTTATATATTGATTCTCCCTACATTTATCTATACATTCAAAGCAAATGAAATCATAATCCAAGCAGTTTCCATTTTGTATAAACTGACACAAAAATTCTAAAATGTACATGAAATAAGAGCATAAAGCATACAATGAAGCTTTTAACCATAATATGTTGAAAAAAAATGTATTACTTGATTTCAAACCTTAGTATAATTCAGCAATTACCAAACTGTGTGGTACTGACATAATGATCAACAAATATTAGCTGAATAGACTAAGAACTCAGAAATTAACTTTTACATTAGATTTTTGATAAAGGCATCAAAGCTTTCCAAAGGGAAAAGGAAAATATTTTCAACAAATGGTGCTACTTTTAGTTTTGTTTGTTTGCTTGTGTTTTTCTTTGGTTTGGCAGTACTGGAAGTTGAAACCAACTAAGCTGGATGCCTGGTTCTTTGTTTTATTTTTTTTTAATATTGAGACAGGGTCTCACCTAGTCACTAAATTTTCCAGACTAGATTCAAACTCACAATCCACTTACCTCAGTTTCTCAGAGTACTAGAATTATATGCATGCATCACTATGCCCAGCTTAACTCACATAATACACAAAATTTAAATAAATATGGATAGTAACCTTAGTGTAAAGGGTAAAACAACATCGCTGTTAGAAAACAACACAAGAGAACATTTTTGTAATTTGTAGATAGGCAGTTTCCTTATATAGAGAAAAAGCAATAGGTATAAAAGAAAAAATGATAAATTAGACTATATCGAGATTTAAAACTTCTGCTTATGCTGGGAATGTAGCTCAGTGGGTGAACTCTTGCCTAGCATGCATGAAGCCCTTGCTTCAATCCCAGTACTGCAAAAAAAAAAAAAAAAAAAACTACGAAAAGATATAGTTAAGAAAATGAATAGACAAAACAAAGACTGGAATAAGACATTCACCAAACATTATCTGATATATGACTGGTGACTCAGATATGTAAAAAGAACAAAAGCTAGCAACTCAATTCAATATAAACAAATCTCAAAAACATAATCTTAAGTGAAAGAAGATTTACACAAAAGTATATGTTGTAGGAGACCATGTGTGTAGCTATAGAATAGGAGAAACTGTGGTATAAAGAACTCAGAATAGTGGCTGCCTTCTGCCGTTACTGAGGATTGGGTATGGAACTGACTATGAAGGAACATGAGGATGTTTTCCAGAGGGAAGGTAGTGTTCTCTAACTGATCTGGAATTTGAGAGTACTGTAAGCATATACATTTGTTACAAACTCAGCAAATGTTTGCCTATAATTTGTGTGCTCACGGGATATAAATTTCACATCATAAGAAAAACATGTAAAACATACTGAATTTGACCTAATGATATGCATGCTGAAATATGTAGGGAAGTATACAGATGGTGTAATTTATATATTAAAAATAAAATGAACTGATGGATAGGAGGGACACAAATGGATAAGTAAGTACAAGTAGAACACAGTAAAGTGTTAGGTGTAGGCCTGAAGTAGTGGGTATACAAGTACTCACTATATGATTCAGCTTTACTGTACTTTGAAATTTTTCATAATAAAATATTTTGGTAAAGAGGGGCATATATGAAAAGGAAGGAAAAGACAACATAGTATATTAAGGAAAAATATTAAGGAGTGAAGTAAAAGGAAAACCAGAAAAGGCAAGTATAAAAGTGATTTCAGAGTTATGTAGAATGCTTTGAAAATTCAAATAACATTAAAATAAATCCATCAGATTTGGCTGTAACAGGGAAGTGGAGAACAGAAAAAGCCACACTGAAGAAGAGGGGACAGAAAATCACTGATAAGAAAGTAAAGACCCTGAACAAAAAGAATTCCTTACAAATTCTTCTGTGAAGGAGACCAGAGCAAAGGAGCTATGATGGTCAATAACAATGGATAATTTACTAGAGTATATGTGTGTGGGACTAAGAAATGATCTGGCACAGAATCTTGTCCCATCAAAAGATGTAGTCAAGTCCTAATCCATGGTAACTGTAAATGTGACCTTCTATGCAAATAGGATCTCTGTAGATATAATCAAGTTGAAATGGGGTCATGCTAGACCAGAATGGGCCCTCATCCAGTAACTCGTGACCCTGTAAGAAGGACACAATAAGAAAGGGTGTTTAGACACAGATAAGAAAGATGCAGGAAGAACATCATGTGACAGTGGAGGCAGAATGGCAGTGCTATGTCCACAGGCCAAGGAATACCAAGACTCACCAGAAACTGAGCAGAGGTAAGGAAGGATTCTATGTTAGAGCCTTCAAAAAGAGCCTGGTTCTACCCACACCTTAATTTCATACTTCTAGCTTCCAGAGCTGTACAAAAATACATTTTTGTTGTTTAAGTCACTAAATTTGTACTGCCTGGTTATGGCAACCCTGTGAAAGAAATACAGGGGTGATAAACGAAGAAGAGAGATAGGTGGTAAGGATAGAGCTAGTGTCCTTGAGAAAGTGAGATATTACCAGGGGGCAGTATCTTCAGATAGTACCCATGCCACCTCCTGCCACAGAAATAAATATAGCATATTTCATAGCGGAGCTAAACAATTAAAATGTTTACTTGGAAGCTTTGGACAAAATGCTTCAAACAGACTCTGTAAGTGATTCTCTCCCCTCTTAACTCACATGCAATATGCCTCCTACATTAAAGTTACCAGCCTTCCTCTAAGTGTGCAAGACCCAACCAGTAGAAGTTAAGTGTAGTTCAATTAACTCTCTACTTTTCAAAAGGGATTTAAAAATAAAGGCAAATCTTACCAATGGTGGGGGCAGCCAATGGTCAAACCAAAAAAGAAGAAAAAAGCCTGGCTGGCCAAATTTCAGAAACATTTCTTACCTTAAGCTGCTGTTGGAGTTCACTGTTTAATCGGGCCAGCACTGCATTTGCCTCTTTATTTTTGCGGATAGCAGTCTGAATAGCCTTCTTCTGTTTGGAAGACTGCCTATAAAGAAAAATATGAACAGTTCCGTGAAAAAGTGCTTAGATAACTGAATTCTTCCCTGCAAATCAAACCTGTGATTCATGAGAGATGCTAAAATAACAAGGGTTATTACAAGGCTCCAAAAATAAAATCTCATATTCACAGGGGAGAGAGGGTAAGCAGACACACACCAAATGAAACAAACTTGTCAGGATGAATTATTTACACCTGAAGTAATTTCAACTTTATAATTTGAATAAAAGCCAAGAATTGGACTTTCTCAAACAATTGTATTTAATTTATTCAGAATTTTAATAAACATTTCTTTGGACAAATCTTGTTGACTAGAATGCCTTTTCTGTGTAAGCATTAATGGCATTTAAAAGACCTTCAGGTGGCCCGTGTGGACAACTCTGAAGGAAGAAAATAGAAAAACATTCTCTTCAGTGAAAATCCTACATAATTTAGCTAGACTGAACTCGACCTTACTTCTTTATTGTTGGGCAAAAATGAAGGGGACACATATCCATGTGCTCACATTGGGACAAATCTAGGGCACTTGAGAAAAATACACAATGTTTTAATACCAGTATTCCTAAATTAACTCAGTAAATTCACAGAACAGGTGTAACTAAGATGACTGTTATGTTCCACTTTGCCAATTATAGTCTCTGTTTATACCAGTGGTGGTAAACCTATGGCACATATGTTTAGCACCTATGGTCTGTTTCTTGTCATCACTGAAAACTCTAAAAGTTTCACCATCACTGGTTTATACTGTTTGATTATAATTCTGCTTACTCTAGAAAAAGTACTCGAAATGGTTAGCCAAGCAACACAGAAAATTTTTAGAAAACAATTACTAAACGCTACAAAAAATTATGTTCACCTACACCCAATTCTTAATAGCCAAGGGCAAGAGGAAAGCCTTGACTTCTCACTGGGCACCCTAATGAGGCATCTCCCTCCCACAATGCAAGTGTCAGAGAATGCTGAGTAGCCACCTTCACCATCTTCCAGTGGAAAAGACAACTCTTTTCATTGTGGAGGCCACATGAAAAGGAGTGGCCAAACACCTCTCCCCTTTCTAGCCAGCATGACGTCAGTAGACATCTATGGGAAACCCAAAGTTCCAACAGTTAGTTACAAGGCACTCCTCCTTCCCCAAGGGTATAAATGGAAGACAAGTAAGTAAGGAAAGTGAACTCCCATTCTCATGAGGGAGGAAAAAAAGGCCACACTTCCTCCCTCATCAGTGCCATGTTAGAGAAAGCACATCAAAACAATGTTTAAGAAGGAACACAGTGCCACCCTCGGATCTTGTGCCTGAGCACTTCCTACGCGAACCCTGCTGGCCCTGAGGAAAATGCGCCACCCTTGGAACTTGCACCCATGCCACCGTGAAATTCCTGTGTGACCCCCAAGGGCCCTAAGGAATGCAGTACCACCTTTGGACCTTGCATCCACGCCAAGGCACACTTCCTGCTCAACACCCACCAGCCTTGAGGAACACAGCCTGCCTTGGCACCTTGCACCCATGCCGCTGTGCGCTTCCTGCATGAACTCTGCAAGCCCTGAGGAATGCAGCACTGCCCTGGACATTGCGCCCGCACCACATGCTTCCTGTGAGACCCCTGCCAGCACTAAAGAATGCCATGTCAAAGGCCGCTGGTTTGGTGACACTCCCCATCTCATAGAACAAGTACTTGATCTTCAGCTCCCACTCCTCCTCCCAGAACCTTGAACTGCAGTGGATTAACCATGCTGAGTTGAAGGGAGACTCAGTGACCTCTCACCCAAACAGAAGACCTCAGCAGGCTCCAATGACTATGCTCCTGTGCTTCTCCTGGCATTTGTCCTACAACTTCAACAAACAGTTGAAGTTATAGCTTCACTAAGTAGAATAGGACCAAACAGGATGAAACAGAATGAACCCACTCAGAACAAAACCGTGTAAGTGATATAGGACTTCAAAAGAAGGTAGTGCACTGAAGACACCTGGACTGATGCCACTGGCCTACCCCTTGGCTCAGAACGACATGTGCCACCATGCCGTGATTCCTGCACATACTGCAGACACCTGGACTCACACCAGCAGCCCAAGACCACATATGCTGCCAAATTGCACTTCTGTGCACCCTGTGGACCCCTGGAGCAACCCCACTGTCCCACTCCTCGACCCAGGACCTAGTACACTACAGCGCTGTGCTTCCAACATGTCTCACAGACACCGGGAATGATGCCACCAACATGCCCCTCAGCCCAGGACCACCTATGCCACCAGGCCACACTTCCCACATGTCCGGTGGACGCCCAGACCTGTGGACACCTGCTGGTCCCTCAGGGGCACTTGCTACCTCCTGGACCTTATACTGCTGTTGATCTTCAGCTTCCACCCTTTCTCACAGAACCTTGGACTACAGCAGATAAACCATTTTGGCTTGATGGGAGATTGAGTAAATGCCTCACCCAAACAGAGAATCTCAGCAGGCTCCAGTCAGTGTGCTGAGTATGCCTCTAAAATAGAGGTGTAGAGTGGGTAAATAGGGCCAGTAGTAAAACTTGTTCCAGCTAAATGTAAGACCTTGGAGTGTCAAGCAAGAGTGTGGGTGACTCTGTCCTGCACAGAGAAAATATCAGGTGGTGTGAGGAGAGTGCAAATAAGGATTCCTACAAATTGGAGAAAATCAAAAGGGCTTACACGTAAACAACAGAGAAACAATAGGGCCTCAGCCAACACAAACACTATAGACAGGGAAACTTGAAGATAAAGTAACAGCAGGAACTAAAAGTTGACCTACATCAATACTACTAGGCTTGTCAGCCCAGGAAGAATAGAGGACTCATCCAACAGGCCCTGCAGGGGCAAGTCAGGTGACTAGCCCACCTCTTCATTGTGAGAACCAGCAATTGGACAAACATCAACCTTACAATGGGACCCCAAGGTACAAACTACCAATAGCTGTGGGATTGAAGGAGCAAATATTAACCCAAAGGGGGAAAATAGCAAAACAAACAAGCAAAATGCAATCTCACACCTCTAGTCCACCAGGAGCAAGTACAGAAGACGCTGAAATAGAGGACTTCAAGAGTAACACACTGGAAATTTCTGAAAAGATAGCGAGTGAAATAAAAAAACAACTCCATTAGGCTATAAAGAAAATAAAAGTGGAACTAATCCCTGATGTAAAGACAGAAATAACAACCTTAGCAAAGGACATGCTCAGCACAGCTAAAGAAGAAATAAATAAAAGAGTACAGGAGCATGGGAAACTGATTGAAACCTTGAATGAACAATATAGAAAACAAGAAGAATTCATGAAACAAACTCAAAGAGACATGCAAGAAACAAAAATTCTACTGAAAGCTGGCAAAACCATTTAAATGAAGCTGACAATAGGATTACAGACCTTGAGGACAGGATTGCAGTTAGCAATCATGAAAAGATAAAACTTTAAAAAATAACAGAGCAGCATGAAATGACAATTCAGGAGCTCCAAGGTGATGCCAAAAGAAACAAGATAAGATAAAACAAGCATCAGTGAAGATACAGGATTCAGTGCAAATGACATATCGAAACTATTCAAAGAAGTAATAGCAGAAAATTTCCCAAACATGGGAAAAAATCTGATATGCAAAGAAGTGAGGCATATACAATGTAAAACAATCACAACCAACATAAATCTACACACAGACATATAATAATTAAGATCCCAGACATAAAAACAGAATACTAAAAGCTGTTAGAGAAAAGACACATCTATCAACGAAAGACCATTAGAATCACAGCAGATTTTTCAGCACAAACCATCAAGTAAAGATGAGCTTGGAGTGAGGTATTTCAAGCCCTGAAAGAAAACAACTTTCAACCCAGACTGATGTACCCAGAAAAACATTCATTCAAATTTAATGGAGAAACAAAATACTTCCATGACAAAGAACTGAAGAAATTCACGTCCACCAAACCAACCCTAGAAAGAGTGTTGAAAGACATATTAGACAGAGATAAAAATGACCACAATACCCAGAACAACAACAGAAAGAAACCATATGGTAGAACAAGCAATTAAACAAGGGGGAAAAGCAGAAAGCAAACAACTGCAACATAACATGGCAAAGTTTAGCTGGTACATATCAGTGATATCCATAAATGTAAATGACTTTAATTCACCTATCAAAAGAAATAGGTTGACAGAATGGATCAAGAAACATGATCCCACAACATGCTGTATACAAGAAACACATCTGACCCAAAAGGAAACTCATACATTAAAAGTCAAAGGATGGAAAACAGTATTCCATGCAACAGCAAGAGTAACTATTCTATTGGCAGATGTGAACTTCACACCTAAAATGATTAAAAGAGATTTTTAAAAAGGTCACTACATACTCGTTAGTGGAAAAATTCAAGAGGAAGAACTAATAATTATAAATATATATGCACCAAATAGAGGAGCACCCAACTATGTAAGACAAATACTAATGGACATGAAAAACCAAATACAAAAGAACACAATTATAACAGAGGACCTTAACACCCCATTGTCACAAAGAGATAGATCAACTAAATACAAAGTCAGCAAAGAAAATATAGAAGTGAATTACACCTGTAAGCAATTGGACTTAGTAGATGTTTACAGTGTTCTACACAACCACATCAGAATACACATTCCTCTCAGCTGTGCACGGGACATTCTCCAAAACAGACCATGTATTATCCCATAATACATTCTTAAGTAAATGCAAAGGGACTGAAATTACACTATGTGTAATAACTGACCGTAGCACACTGAAATTGGAAATTAATGGCAAAAGAAATTCTAAAACCTACATAAATACATGGAAATTAAATAACAACATTCTGAACAACCAGTGGGCTACAAATGAAATTGAAGAAGAAATAAAGTGGAATTGGGCTGCCAGAGGTGAGTTCCAGCACACCAGCTCTGCCCAGGACAGTTTAAGATCATTTCTCCCAGTGGTAAAGGACTGGCTCAGCTTCCAGCCACACTAGAAGAGGC